CAGGATTACAGGCATGCGCTACCACGCCTGGCTGATTTTTTGATTTATTGTAGAGATGAGGTCTCGCTGTCCAGGTGGGTCTTGAACCCGTGGGCTCAGGCAATCCACTCACCTCAGCCTCCCAAAGGTATGGGATTACAGGCTGAGCCACCGAGCCCGGCTCAAAGGTCCACTTTCAAATGTGGAGGACTTATGTCTACAGAGATTGTAATACTCATGGTCATACTCCAAAAACCCTTCTGAAAGGTACAAGAGCAAGATTCACTCAATCAGGTTGTTGGAACGAACAGCAGCCTTGTCTTCAATCGGTAGCTTTAAAAACGAAACCTTTTCTAACAGCCTACCAACAGGCCCTCATTTAACTGGGGTGGCAGGAGAAAGAGCTGTAACAGAAGAACTGTGTGTGAGAGCAGAGGGGGCACAGTTTTCCCGGATGGTGAATCAGGGAAGATTCATCCAGGAAGCAGAATCAAGGCTAGAGTCTGAGGCAGGATAGGAGCTCCCTAATGAGACATGGAAGGGGGAATGCATATTACAAACGGCTCCTCTCCTCTCAGTTGAGTCAGATCTGCAGTCTTTGGCTCCAGTGTCTCACACCTGTTCTCCAACTTCAGCGTTATCAGAACCACTTGCTGAACTAATAAAGACCACAGAGGGCCAGGATCTATGAAATGGACAGGGCTAAGGCCTTTGTATTTTTACCAAGTTCCCAGGTGACTCTGATACCAACCAAAGTTTGAAAAATCCACACCAGGCCAATCAGAACAAGTCAACAGTTGACCCTGGGCATTTCAGCTTTGAACAGTTAGGAAAGTGCTGTGGTTTAGTGACGTCACAGGTCCCCTGGAGAGTGGGGGTGGGTCCAAAAAGACTGGACTGCCTCATTAATATCTAGAAGACCAATCCAGAAAAATTTATGTCAGCTTATTAGTCACTGGAACTGAAATCCAAAGACTTGACTTTCAGTAGCCACTCCAGAGCCAAGTATATCTAACAACTGGTCATCACCTGACGCTATTCATTTGTAAAAAACACCTGTACTGAGATATATTTCCCATACCATACATCTCACCCATTTAAAATGCATAATTTAATGGTTTTTAGTTGTGCAACCATCACCCCACCCCCAAACCCCTGGCAACCAATGTTCTACCTTCTGTCTCTATGGTTTTCCTATTCTGGACATTTCACACAAATGGAAGTATACAAAACGTATACCTTTTGTGTCTGGCCGCTGGCTTCTTTCATTTAGCATCTTTTCAAAGATTCATCCATGTTGTGGCATGTATTAGTACCGCATTCCTTTTTATGGATGAATAATATAAAACACCATCTTTTGTTTATCTATTTATTTGCTGATTAAATCTGGGTTATTTCCATTTTTGGCTATTTTGAAAAATGCTGCTGTGAAAATTCACGTACAAGTTTTTAACTATCTTGGGTATATACCGAGGGGTGAAACTGATGAGTCATGGCAGCTCCATGTTCAGACTTTGGAGAAACTGTCAAATTGTTTTCCAAGGTGGCTGCTTACTCATCCTTTAAAGATCGCCTACAATTCAACAGGTACTGAGTTTATGCCAGACTGACTTGCTAGCACTGACAAGACTTGCAAACTGAAAAATACGCAAATGAAATAAAGCAGCATTTAGTGTGATGAGTGCCACAGAAGCAGATCCTGGGACAAGCAACACAAAGGAGAATAACGCATCGGTGAGGGTTCTGAAGGATGAGTAGTTCACCAGGTGGATGCTGGGCCAGGAGGAGACGTGACAGGGTATGGCTTACTGGGGTGAGCAGCCCCAGAAGTTCTCTCTGACTTGTGGATACAGGTGAAGGAAGGCAGCCAGAGTTGAAGGCCTGGAACAGTAGGTGTGGCTCTTGTGGGCAATGGGGAGCCACCGAAGACCCTCAAAAATGGGAAGAACACGATCGAATCTGTGTTTCAGAAAGAATGGAGGTGAAGATGGACTGGACAGACACAAGGATAGAGGCAGGGACTCTGCAATCATCCAAGCATGACTCAAGGTGGGGATGAAGGCAGTCGCATCACGGTAACTGTGTCATGAGTGATTTGTGAAACAGCATCCATAGACGTACCTCACCCCTTTTTCCCTTCCTCATCCAAACAGTGAGTAGAGGGAGGAACCTGGGATGACTCAGTTTCTTGGCTTGAGTGGCTAACATGACCTTTAAGCAGCACAGGGAACTGAGGAGGGATAAGGAGTTTGGGAGAAAGAATAATGAACTCAGTTTTGCATGTTGAGTTTGGGTCATTTGAAACACCCAGACATACACATGCATCCAGTAGGCACCCTGGATAGATCTCAGACAAAAGGCCTGCTCTAGCGGTCATCAGGGTCTGTACAGGGATTAACAGAAGCCTTGGAAATGAACAAGGGGCAAAAGGGAACAGAGTGAGAAGAGCACTGGGGACAGAAAGAAAGTAAGCACCAGCAGTTAGGGGGCAGAAGGAGAAAGAGCAGCCTGGAAGGGTGATGACAAACAGGCGCTTAAGGTTACTCCCACCCCAGCAAGTATTATTAACTTTTTTTTTGAGTCAGGGTCTTGCTCTGTCACCCAGGCTGGAATGCAGCGGCATGATCACAGCTCACAGCGGCCTTGACCTCCTGGGCTCAGGTGATCTTTTCGCCTCCGCCTACCGACTAGCTGGGACTGTAAGTGCACGCCACCACACCTGGCTAGTTTTTTTACTTTATTTTATTTTTTTAGAGATAAGGTCTTGCTATGTTGCCCAGGCTGGTCTCAAGCAATCCTCCCCCCTCAGCCTCCCAAAGGGCTGGGATTACAAGCATGAGCCACCATGCCCAGCCCAACCCAGAACTAATTCAATATGACTGCATCTTGACGATCTTTCCTCTGCAAGGGAGAATTACTTATACAGTAAAACTTTGCATGAAAGCCAAGTCATCCGGCGACCTCATTTACAGGGAACACTGAAAGAAAAATGGTAATTAGCCAGTCACGTATCAGGGTCTGCTCTGTGCCAAGTCATTCCTCATTTAATTCTCACAAAAACACAATCGTATGATATTGATAGATCCATTTTACAGGTGAAGAATCAAAGCACAAAGAGCTGCAATACGCTCAGGCCCACAAAGACGGCAAGTGATGAAGCTGTAATGCAAGCCGAATAGAGGCAAATGGACTCCTGAATTTGGCTTTCAAAAAAGAAAAGAAAAAGTCTTTGAGAAGACAGATCTATTCTAAGCTCTGTCCTAAACCTTACTCCCATTACTGATTAAACAAACAAACAAACAAACAACCCTGCATTCAAGAATCACCCCCATTATTCAAAGGCACCCTTCCCCTCTAGCCAAAATTAAGGCCAACGTTTCTCATCTAAGCTCCCAAATGAGAAAAGGAGTTTATTCCAGGCAGGCAGGTGCCAAGGAGGGAGGGAATAAACCAAGAAAACAGCAGACTCAAGAACTCAAAGCACTGTGTGTGGTCTTCTAGGGTAGGTGTCTACTATGGTGACCCTGATAGTATCACTGCGTATTATACTCTAGTTAGTTAAGCTAGTTAATAATAGGCTTTGGTTATCAAAAACCAAGACCCAAACCATGACAACTTACACAGTGGGTTCCTATTTAGGAAACTAAACTCTAAAAGCATAACTACAACCAAGATTTGAATTCAAACTGGTTTTTAAGTTGGTGCTTTAAAGGTGGACACTTGCTTCCCAGAAAACATAACTAGCCAGACCAATCCAGAACTTGAGGCCAGACAATCTCACCCACTTCTGATCAACAATCACTTCCACAGCTTGTGTCTAGTCTTAGGGACTCCCAAATTCCAGTTCGGCAAGGCATTCCACGGGTCCCCTAACTGTCTATTTATCCTCTCTATCCCCCATCCCTGGCCCCAAATGGCACTTGCATTCTGCCAAATGTAAACTGTTAGAAACACCTTCTGCCTCTTCTTTCTGATATATTAAAGACATCCAGTCAGGACATAAGAATAGCATCTCGGCTGAGCATGGAGGCTCACGCCTTGAGTGAGACCTCGACTCAAAAAAAAAAAGCTTCTCAAATACCAAACATCTTCCCAACCAGCTCCTGTTTTCCATTCCCATTATTCCACTATCTAATTCGGTACTCAGCTCCGCCGCCAAACCATCCTTCCTAAAAATCAAAGTCTTAGTCACCTCACTCCTGCTCAGAAATCCTCTGAAGCATCCCATGCCGAGATTACTCAGACTGGCTCCAAACTGGGGCATGCAAGACAATCCCACCAGGGTGCAAGATGAAAATGTCAAATGTGTGTTTTTTTTTTTTTGACCTCACAAGTCAAGAATTTAACTCTACCAGGAGATGGACCAAGCTGGTGCCCTCACAAGGATCCTTCATCAGTTCCATATGGCACATAAGATGAACGCAGCAAGGGAGGGAGAGACCTCCTCGATCATCTCACTGTGTTGAGGTGATGTGACTGTTTGTATATTACATGTCATTACCTTAGTTGCTATTTACAAAAATAATCCTTAAGTAGTGAAATCTTACAATGCTTTGCAATGAGATGAAAATCTTGAGTATTAGAGGTTAGTTCATGATCTCTCTGTAAAAGAGCTGTCCTCCAAACCCAATGACCTTGGCTGGCTGAGGAGAGGCTATCAACAACAGTACACTGCTTAGCGGCTGTATTGAAAATGGATATGCATTAACACTTCCTTCATTTACAAGTTTGTTTTCTAATGTAAGTCTGTGATGGTTTAAAGTTTCTCTTTTTGTGTTTATATTACAATGCATATATTAGAAATAAATATATTGGGGCTGTGTGCTCCATACTTTTTTTTACTGTTAAGGATACTAAGGATACAGTATCTAAAGTTTGGAGACCAATGTATTGTCTCCAGTACACAGGCTCATTTTTCTACTTAGCTGCTTTCTCAATATCTCCACTTTTATATCCAACAGGCATTATAAACTCAACATACCTAAAACTGGGTGGGCTCTTGCTGTCTTCCCTCGCCCAAACCTCTCGGCCTATCCTGGCTGATCTAAAATTGCAGCTCTCTTCTATTTTTCTTGCGTGTTCATCACTATCTAAAATACTATTTTATAATGGGGGAAAGAGGCAATAAAATAGCTAGTGAATTCCATGAGAACCAGGAGCTTTGTGTTTTGTTCACTGCTGTATTTCCAGTGCATAGCTCAATAAATATGTCAAAAAATAGATAAAAAGGCTCTATTAAAATTCAACCACTCAGCTGGGCTCGGTGGCTCAGCCTGTATTCCTGCGCCTTTGGGAGGCTGAGGTGAGTGGATTGCCTGAACTCGCGGGTTTGAGACCCGCCTGGGCAGCGAGGCCTCATCTCTACAATAAATCAAAAAATCAGCTGGGCGTGGTAGCGCATGCCTGTAATTCCGGCTACTTGGAAGGCTGAGGCGGAAGGATCGCGGCCACTGCACTCCAGTCTGGGTAACAGAGTGAGACTCCAACTCAAAAAAAAAAAAAAATTCAACCACTCTCCTACTACATTTCTCCCTGTCTCACCTTAGCTCAGCGGCCCCTTCCCCTAGCCCCCAGGATCCTTCCACCCTGAGGTCCTCAGTCCTCAGGGTCAGCACCATCTGTCCTACTTATTTCTGGCCCATCTCAAGTGGTATTTCTCAGTCATCTTGGTATCCCCTGCAGCACCCAGCATGGTTGTTGGCTAGCACGGACACTCAGTGAACTTATTTGTATAAAGACAGTTTCTCACTTTACAATGGTGCAAAAGTGGCACGCATTCAGTACACTCCTTTCCTTGACTTACTGCGGAGCGACGTTTGCATGAACCCACCGTCAACTGAAAACGTCGCAAGTCAACAAAAAGCATCTTTCTACTTGCGGTTTTTTCAATGTACGATGGGCTTATCAGGACGTGGCCGCGTTGTAAGTAGAAGAGCATGTGTATTTTTCAAATCACCTGGATGTACAGAAAACTGGAGAACATAACCTAAATGATAAATCTGGAATCCCCTTCAATGGGCTCCCTCTTGGGCGTGATACTTAGAAGGCAACGTGGGCACCTCCTGGGTTCTTTAACTTTGGTTGTATTAGGCTCACTTGAGGCACTTGGTAAAAATACAGAAGCCCAGGTCCTCTGCTCCTTCCACGAGCCCGGGCTTCCGTTCTTTACTGGCTTTCAGGTGATTCCAACACACATCAGAGTTTGAGAATCTCCGTTCTTTCTAGACGAAGACGGCTAAAAATAGCTCCGATTCAGTGGTCTCAGGCCAAGTCAGGCACTGTCAAGACACCTTGGGCGCAGGCTCAGTCCGCCCACAGCAGGAAGGATCCTCCAAAAAGGACCTTAGGAGGAAGGCTCGATTCAAAAGGCACTGACGATGGTCAGCAGCGCTTAAAACTTGATTTAATCCTCTGGCCAAGAAGAGACTGCGTAAGCTTGGCCCAGTTCTCTACCCTCAGTGCCTCAGTGTGTACCACGAAGTTTAAAAGGACACACGATTTCTCACATTCACGCGCCGCTCACACGGATGCTACAAGGAGGATGAGATGTGTTACGTCAAAGCAATGGAAAGCTGCATCCACACGTAAGTTACTTTCAGGCCCAGCTCTCCGGCTTCTCCGCCTAGAGGCGCGAAGCCAAGGGCAGGCCCTCCGGGGAGCTGGGGTCGCTCCGTGTCAGGGCCGGCCCGGGGCGCCACGGCCTCCAGCCAGCGCTGGGCGGCCCTTGCAGCCCAGGCTGGCCGGAGGTCAGAGCTGGCAGGGACACACGTGGCCGCCCCGGGGGCCTCCGCCGGCGGGCCGCCCCTCGTCGGGCCTACCTGGGCCGAAGTGCCGAAGCCGCGGCGGAGAGCGGCGCCGGCGGGTCGAGCGAGGGCGGAGAGCATGGCTGGGGCGGGCGGGGCGCCGACGAGCGAGCGGAGGAGCGAGCGGCGGGCGAGTGACTCCAACGACCTCCACCCCGCGCGGCTCACCCGGCTTCCCCCTTTCTCGGTCTCGCGAGAGCGGCCCGACTTCCGGGCCCGCCCACCTCCCGGATCTCGCGACACAGCTCACTTCCGGGGGCGGGAAGAGACGCGGAGGGGCGCGCCTGGCAACCTGGGCTTGCTGTCGCTGGGCGGTCTGGGTTGCCCGTGCGGGAACCGCGGTCGGAGTGGGAGGGAGAGGCTGCACCCGAGAGGTGGAAGAGGACGGGTTTTAGGCTGGACGTGCCTTAGAGGAGCCATTTTCCAGGTGGGGCCCCAGCCGAGGTCCCGCCGCAGGAGGCAGGTCTAGAGACGGTAACTTGCGCGGTCGTCCGGTCCCCGCCTCTTCACACCTGCGAGGCGATGCTGCGAACGCAGGCCCCCTGTGTCCGCTTAACCTTGTGGCTGAGGCGAAGCGAACTTGCTCAGGGCTCGCCCCAAAAGAAAGTAGCGATGGGGTTCCCTGCTCGCAAGGGTATCATTTACAAGCTATAAGCTTCAGTTTTTCCCCCCCTTTCTCTTTTCTGGCCATACAGAGATGCCTCAGACACAGTTCCTCCCCCGAAAAAGCTCAGTCAAGCGGATAAATGCGCTCCAGGTTGCAGCCTTGATAGGGGGCGCGTACACATCCAACGGTGGGGGGACCGGTGACATAGTCTGTTTGGGGACACTTCTGGGGAAGCTGGAGTGAAAACGGCACAAATGCTAAAGAAACTGTCAGTACAAGGGAGTTCATGATGACCGCTGACCCTTTCCTCCTTCCCTCCCACTTGTGTATTGAGCCAGCCCAGTCTTGGAGCTGGGTATTCAAGTGTGAACAAGATCCACACGTTCTCTGCCTTAAAGGAGCTGGCAAGGGAGGATATGGGCAGCAGTAGGAGAATTATGGAGTGCTGGGGGACCCACCCAGAATTGGAGGGGGGCTGGGGGCTGCGGGATAGGGGACCTTTCAGAGATCAACCATCTAAGCTGAGACATGCTTTGGTGTAGGTGTCACAGATTCTTAGGCTCGTGGGAGCATTCACGTTCAGAGAAGAGAGAGATACCCTGCCTGGGAGTTGGAGTTGTCAAAGGAGGGACACTAGAAGCTGCTCTCTCTCTTTTTTTTTTTTTTGAGTTGGAGTCGCACTCTGTTGCCTAGACTGGAGTGCAGTGGCACACTCCCAGTCACCACAACCTCAACCTGCTAGCCTCAACCGGTGATCGTTCCGCCTCAGCCTTCCAAGTAACTGGAACTATATAGGTACGCACTACCACGCCCGGCTAATTTTTGATTTATTGTAGAAACGAGGTCTCGCCAAGTTGCCCGGGCTGGTCTTGAACCCGCAGGCTCAGGCAGTTCACTCGCCTTGGCCTCCCAAAGTGCTGGGATTACAGGCTGAGCCACAGCCCAGCCGAAGCTGCTCTTTTAACAAAAGCAAGTGTTTAGAGAGGGGAAAGGAGGAAAAAAGAGCCCAAAGAAAAATCTGGAGGCAGGAAAGTGTAGGCCTATATTCAGAGGACCGTGAATAGATCATTTCTTTTGGAGGAGGGACATCAGAACAAGCAGTGTCCTTTATGTTATCACCGGCTGTTCTCTGGTAGTTGTTTACCTCTCTATCTTGCTACTAGAACTGAGAGCATGCCGGGCTCGGTGGCTCAGCCTGTAATCCCGCGCCTTTGGGAGGCTGAGGTGAGTGAATTGCCTGAGCCCGCGGGTTCGAGAACCCGCCTGGGCAGCAAGACCTCATCTCTACAATAAATCAAAAAATCAGCCAGGTGTGGTAGCGCATGCCTGTAATTCCAGCTACTTGGAAGGCTGAGGAGGAAGGATCGCCGGAGCCCAGCAGGTCGAGGCTGCGGTGGCCGGGAGCGGTCATTGCACTCCAGTCTGGGTGACAGAGTGAGACTCCAACTCAAAAAAAAAACAAAAAACTGAGAGCATCTTGGGGGTCTGTCTTCTGTCTCCATGTCTTTATTGTCCAACACATGACTGGTCAGAGAGTGGCCCTCAGTGAATGTTGGGGAAGTTGGATGGTTTTAGGTAAGGCTGGACAAAGCAGGTTGGAAAAACTAGATTGTGCAGATTCTGTGTATGTTAGCTGAGAAGTTTGTATTTTATTCCTTGGAAAACAAGTGTTTGTCAGAGGCTTTTGTGATGCCACCACAGTCGTGTTTGAGGAAGATTAGACCGACCTCACATGCAAAGGATTCCAAGGAGGAAAAAAAGGGCTGGGAGATTGCTAAGGAGGCTATCTTATGAGATGATGAAGCTCTGAATTGTGGTGATAGTAGAAATAGAGAGGGCAGGGCCTGTGGGGGAGGAGTCTCAAGGGAAGAATGGATATGAGTTTGTGCCCATCTGGGTTTGAGGAGTACACGCAAGGGATGTGGAAAATCAGACTGAGAGACGTATGTAGTTAACCGAAAGAGGAAAGTTGGGAGTTGTATGGGAGGAGAGCTGGCTGGAGAAAAAAGACAGAGCTCCATTTTAGATGGGCTCAATTGGAAAGGATGGTGAGTTGTCCATATAGAAATATTAGTGGTCATATGGACAGATGGAGAGTTACTCCCAAGAGGAAACGTGGGATTGGAACTCAGGTGAGAGGCCAGGGTTGACATCCTTATGCAGGAGAAAGTTGAGGCCATGAGCAATAAGCTGGAATCACAGATGCTTAGCTCATTCCCACATCTGGGGCTCAATCCCCTTCGCATCCCTGCAGAGACAGCATCTCCATGGAGGAGGAACTCACTACCTCCTGAGTCTTCTACTCAGGCCCTCCCGAACAACTTGACTGTTAGAAAAGCCCCCCAGTCAACTCTTATCTGCCTCCGTCTAAATCCAAAGATAATAACAGTCTTAACAGCTGCTGTATCAAGCACTGACTGTGTGACAAGCACTGACTGTGCTTGGTGCTTTGCAAGTATAACTTACATTGAACAAGCAGAGTTCAATCATAAAACAGCTTTCTGTCTCATTCTCACTCTTTCTTTAATCTTTACGTGCCCTTGGATTCCATCTAGTAGTTACCAGGACAGACTGACTAATCACCAAAATGTTCATTGTACATTAATAATCACAATTCTGAACTTCATTCAAAGTTAAAGTTTCTTCTCTTCCCCTCTCAAGCTTTCTATGTGTTTCCACATTTGGGAAGGAGAGTGGTTGAGTTCTGTGTGTTCTTATCTTGCTTCCACACTCCTCTATACCACCCTACTCCACCCTAGGTAGAGTAAAAGAGTAGAAATGAGGCAAGAAGGGTCCCTTTGTCATCTGAGCTAGATGGGAGTTTGTAGGGACTTTTTCTCCTATGCAATGCTTTTGTGGGTCTTTCTTGCTGGCAAATTCCCTTGGCCAGGTGGTTATGTTTTAGCCTTGCTGCCTTCGGTTTCTAGGATCCCTCCCCATCTGCCCTTGGCCCTCTTGGGCAAAGTACATTAAGATGGCTTCTAGTTGGCATCCTCTCCTGCCTGGCCCAGTTCTGGTCTACAGGAAACTCAGGCATCCCTACCAAATTCTGAGGGTGCTGGCCGTTTCAAAGGCAGCTCCCTCTCCTGGCTTTGTAAACAGCTAGCCAGCATCACACTTTTCTATCCCAGGCCTCTGCCTGCAAAGCTTCAGGGGCCACAGGCCTAGCTATTTTAGGGTGGGTTTTTTTTGTTTTTGTTTTTGTTTCATGAATTGATCCAAGAAAGCTGAGACTTGTGAATGTTTGAAATCAGGGAGAAAAATGCTAATAGAGGGGAGGGCTTTGAGGTACTGAAAACAGAGAGGGAGAGGGAGAGAAATGGATTAAGAAGAGGATGAGATCAAAGGATACTTATCCCTCTGACTGAGAGAAAGCACAGAGGGCAACCAGGGAGCAGTTGGTGGGGGAGGGTAGTTCATACCCCGTGGCCTTAACTTTCATAGGCAAGAGCTATAAAATGACAGGCGTTGCTTCCAAGGAGGATTGACAAAATTTAAACAACATTCATAATCACTGTGAAAATGCTGGGCAAATGCAGAAAAGCATTAGCTAGCTCTGTGAGGGCCAAGCTGAAGTTCTGCAGTCTGTATTTGCTGTTTGTCCAAGTCCATGTGGTTTCCTGCAGCTCAGACCCCATACCAAAGTCATGGATATACATACACAGACTCCCTTTGTCACACACACCCCTGCATATTCGCATCCTGGAACAAATAAACACATGGAGCTACACAGGGAATTCATTTTTTTAATTGATGTGCAGCTTACATACGGTAAAGTATATAAGTCTTAAGTGTTCAGTTTGGTTTTGACGTTCTTCCACCCATGTAACCACCATCCAAAACAAACTACAAAACCATGTCATTATTCCGGAAGGTTCCCTCACCCACCTTTCCATCAGTCCCCCAAGACAGCTATTTCTATTACCATACATATATTTTAACTGTTCATCATAGTCTATGAAAACACACAAATACATTGATACCCTGTCTTAGTCCGTTTTCTGTTGCTATAACAATATTCTCCAGTATCAATCACTGGGTGATTGATAAAAGAGGTTGATTTAACTCACAGCTCTAGAGGCTTGGAAGTTTGATATTGGCATATCTAGTCAGCTTCTGATGAAGGTCTTGTGTTGCATCTTGACATGGCAGAGAAGGGGAATTATGTGGGCGAAAGGGCAAAACACAAGAGGTGACCTCGCTTTATAGTGACCTCGCTATGATGAACAGCCTGCTCTCTAGAGAACTAACTAATCCCATCCCTAGCCACCTTAACTACCTAATCACCTCTTAAAGGCACCACTTCCCAACATTGCCACATTGGGGACCAAACCTCAGCATGAGTTTTGCTGGAGGAGAACCATATCCAAAATCCAAACCATAACACACCCTTCTCTCCCCAGCTGCACAACACCCATGTGTACTGAACACTGTCCCTTGCAGTGGGCTTAGATCACAGGTACCAAAGATTTTGGTTTTGGGTGCACATATGTTAAACTACCTTCTCTCAACCCTAAAACCAGATCAAGTGAAGTATTTTAAATCTTCCAGATCACTGGAGATAAAGAGTTAGAAAGGTGGTTATCAATCCACTTTACTTGGGAGTTTTATTTATTTTTCTCTAGGTTCTCTAGGAGATTGGAAATTGGGGATGCATATTTTAAAAATAACTGTATTATGCCGGGCTCGGTGGCTTAGCCTGTAATCCCGTGCCTTTGGGAGGCTGAGGTGAGTGAATTGCCTGAACCTGCGGGTTTGAGACCCGCCTGGGCAGCAAGACCTCATCTCTACAATAAATCAAAAAATCAGCCGGGCGTGGT